CTCTCAAGATCTTTCGGTTGAAGGGGAGATAATACATTCTATCTCGGATGCATCGAACTACTTATCGAATATAGTTACCTCTAAGGAAAATATTTTGTTACAACTCCAATTCTGGAGACAGCGATGCAAAAAGGACTGGATTCTCAAAGGAGACTGCTCTTCTAAACTCTTATTTTCAAAAGTTAAGTGTCGTCAGAGGAAGAATGTTATTTCTTCCCTGGTTGACGACCAAGGTCTTGTGCAGCATGATCAACAGGATGTCCAGAACATCGTAGTTTGCTCACTAAAGGAGACTTTCAAATGTACTTCTATTCCTCTTTACGATCCTAAGATTGACAATGTCCTTCAGGAATTGCATCTCCCTTCTCTTAATTCTTCGCAGACTAGTAATCTGGAACGACCTTTTAACGGAACTGAGATTCAGGAAGCAATGTTTGATTTGGGAAATTGTAAGTCCGCAGGTCCAGATGGAGTTACGGCAGAATTTTTCAAAGTTCATTGGCCCACGGTGGGCGCTTAAGTGGTCGCAGCTGTCCAGAGTTTCTTTCTTACGGGGTTCCTTATAAAAGAATGGAATCATTCACTCCTGGTCATGATCCCAAAGATTGCTTCTCCTATGGTGGTTACCCATCTTCGTTCTATTAGCCTTTGTAATATAATCTACAAATGTGCTTCCTAGTGCTTGGTTGCAAGAATCCGTCCGTATTTGCCTTTGTTAATCTCGGATTCTCAACATGCCTTTGTCCAAGGGAGGGTTATTTCAGATAATATTCTAATGTCCCTTGAATTAATGGAGAAAATCAATTCTTCCAAGACTGGTACTAACTGGCTTGCTGCACTCAAGATCGATATGAGTAAAGCCTATGACAGAGTTCACTGGAGTTTCTTTTTACGGGTGCTTCAAGCCTATGGGTTCCCAGCCAGATGGCTCCTAATGATTCACCAGTGCATTTCTACAGTCTCCTATAAATCTCTCATCAATGATAATACTTCTGAGGCTTTTAAGCCTAACTGTGGCCTCCGTCAGGGGGATCCGTTATCCCCATATCTCTTTCTATTCTGCATGGATGTTCTTTCCAGAATGCTACACTTGGGTCAGGATTAGCATTTGTTTCAAGGAATAAAAATCTCCAGGTCAAGTCTTGTTATTTCCCACCTTTTCTTTGCTGACGACGCGTTGGTCTTCTTCAGAGCGTTTGCTCCTTCTTGTACGAATATTATCGAGATTATTCGTCGCTTTACAATGATTTCGGGTCAACAGTTGAATCTCAATAAGTCTCTGATTAAATTCAGTCCTAACACTACTACGCTTGCTCAGGATGAATTTAAGGCGATTTTCCGTATGACACTAGTTCAAAGGTTTGATCATCATCTGGGATCCCCCATTGATTTCATGGCAAAGAAAAAAGATTGCTTCCAATTTCTTATCGACAAAATTGTTGGCCGCATAACGACGCTCAGTGCTGTCAATCACAAAAGTTAATATTCATTAACTCCATCTTGGTGGCCATGGCTTCTCATCTCCTCTCCTGCTTTGAAATCCCAATCTCAATTACTGGGAAAATCGATAGCTTATTATTGAAATTTTTTTGGTCCTACTACAGAATTCACGGAATGCATTGAGTGGTGAAAAGGAAGATGCATCTTCCTCGAGGAATGGGTGGGTTAGGAATTCGGTGTATCTCAACTCTAAATAAAGCTCTTCTTATGAAGCAAGTTTGGAGAATTGTTACCCACCCTAAGCTGCTCATCTCCAAAGTTTATTCAGCTCGTGCTCGCTTCTTGTCGCCTACTCCTTCTCAGGATAGACGCTACTCGGGTCGACAGTCATACGATCTTCGCGGTCTGCTTCATGCAGATGCTCTTTTGTCGACGGGGTGCAATTGGAAGGTCGGAAATGGCAATTCCATTATAGTTGGAAGTTCAAATTGGGTAAACGGTACTACGCCAACCTTCCACCCAGAGGTCCTCCTCGCCATTGCGAAGGATTGGACAGTTAATTTCTTCATTCATCCTCAGACCCTCACTTGGGATGTGGACAAAGTTCATTAGTGTTTTATACCAGCGGATGCTTCCACAATTCTTGCCATGGAAATTCCAGCTTTGTAGAAGGAGGACTTCCGCTTTTGGGCAAGCACTACTTCAGGGAATTACACGGTAAAGACAGGTTATGCAATGCTCATTCAGCCGATTACTTCTCATTCAGTAAGTCCATTTTGGAAAGTCCTTTGGTCCCTGCAGTTTCAACCAAAGTGGAAACTATTTTTATGGAAGTTATTCCATAACGGTTTAGCGGTCAAAAGTGAGCTTCATCGCAGGGGGGTTCCCATACAGGATGTGTCCTGTGATAAATGCAGTACACAGCTTGAAGATTTCAACCATCTGTTCCGAGATTGCACTATTGCAAGAACAGCTTGGAGGAGTGGTGCCTTGGGCATCCATTCAGAATTACATGGACACCTTTCTCTTTCAGATTGGATCCAAGACTATATCCGACTATTCATTAGTCAGGATGGACTTTTCAATCCCAGTATTAGCACCTTTGTTGGTACTCTATGGGGTCTTTGGTTATTTAGAAATAACAGGGTTTTCAATCCCGACACTTCTGTCACAAGACCCTTTGATCTGCAACTAGTGGATATACTTCACTCTCATACTATCTGTATGGACGAGGACACAGGGAGGGAGCTTTCTCTCTCTTCTACTAATCTCCCTAGTTTGCCCCCGCCTGGGTTTCATGTAGCCCATTTAGGGCACAACCACTCAGGCTCACCATTCTTGACAATTCAGGTAGATGGTTCTTGGTTCAAAGACACACAACAAGCAGGAATGGGCTGGTGTCTCGACAATACAGATCCTCTGGATGACAGGATTGTAGGTGGGAGTAATTTTGGGTTTTTCTCCTCTTCTCCTCACTCGGAAGCCTTAGCCTGTTGCTATGCCTTGCAATGGGCTTCAAATGCAGGCATTCAATCACTTCATCCGTTTACAGATTCTTATAATCTGGTCACTCTTCTGCGCGGCGATGGACGAGGTGATATCCGGTATTTATGGCTGGTGCATTAGATCCAACTGGTAAGGTCTACTTTCCAACATTGTAGTATTTATAAAGCAGATCGGGCACGCGTTCACAGGGCGCACCAAATTGCAGGAGAAGCTGCCGTCCATCTCATTTGCTTTAGCAGTAATTTGTTTTAGGTTTTTTACCTTTTATCCTTTGTAAAAAAAAACCTTCCTTGGAAGACTCGTTATATTGCAAGAAGTTGGAAAATACAAAATGTAAGTTGCAACAAGGGTACAAGAACTTCAAAAAGTGGAAGAAAGAAGATATGTTTGATTAGTTTGAGTAATCTTTCTTCACAACCTATAAGCCGAAGAAAGCAAAACAATTTTAAAGATACAAGCTAAATAAAAATTTGTCTTAAAGATATGTCAAATCTTTTTTATTTTAAGTAATTATATTGTATAAGATTAGTGAATTATTTTTGTTAAGATTTGTTTCTTTAATAGAATTTAATTCAGCAAAAAAAATAAAATAAAATAAAATAAAAGAAAAGAAAAAACATTGATGATTATTGACTGATTGATTGATAATTAATATGTTACAAAGTACTTCGTTGAACACTATAGGTATTTACATATGACATATTGGAGCCCTCCTAAATTGGGACCTAGGACAATTGCCCCTCAAAACATAGCTCAAGATCGACACTGCAATCATCATACTAACCAGTGTCTAAGTAATATATTAACATGTTTTGTTGAAATTAGGGGTGTCAATTCAGGTGTTCGGATCAAACTCAGTGAGATCAGGTCGGATTGAGTCTAATTTCAAACTTGAGTTATATTCTATTATAAAATTAAATCTATATGAGTCAGAATCTGAATTGAATATTATTTTAGTTGATTTTGATCGAGTCGGTCCGTTAGGTTTTGACTAGAGCTGTCAATTCGGGTAAATGGGTCGGGTTTGAGTCGGGTTAGTGTGAGTCGGGCCATCTCGGCTTGGGTCAATACGGGTTAATGTCATAACATATGCAGGTCGGGTTCGGATTGGGTCATGCTTGAGTCGGGTCACGTCGGGTCATACATCTTATCGGGTTTGGGTCGGGTTTAGATCGGGTTAGTAAAAGGTCGGGTTACATTCGGGTTAGGTGAAAAATAGGTCGGGTTAAATTCGGGTCTTTACGGGTTTAAACGAGTTAGGGTCGTTCTGAGGTTCGAGTCGGGTTCGGTTCAAGTCAATTATTTACGGGTTATAATCAGGTCGGGTCATTCTCGGGTTCAAGTTGGGTTCGGTTCAAGTCAATAATTTGCAGGTTATAATCAAGTCGGGTTATTCTCGGGTTCGAGTCGGGTTCGGTTTAAGTCAATTATTTGCAGAAAACATGTTTCGTCCTTGAAATTCGTCCCTGAAAACATGTTGTGAAACTAACCTCTTAAAATTCAAAGTGAAATATTGAAGGAATAGAGTTAGGATTCAATTTTCGTTCCAATACCAACATGAGATAACGACCTATACATATTGATTCAATAACAAGTCAGGTTGAATTTGGGTCGGGTCAATAGCAAGTCGGGTTGATTCGGGTCGGGTTTGTAACAGGTCGGGTTGAAATTCGAGTCGGGTTTGTAGCAGATCGGGTTAAATTCGGGTCGGGTTAGGAACAAGTCGGGCTGAATTCGGGCTTTGACGGGTTAAAACGGGTTTGTGTCAATTTCGGTTCAGGTCGGGTTCGATTCAAGTCAATAATTTATGGATTAAATTGGGTCGGGTTGTCTCTAGGTCGGTTAATGTTCGGGTTCGGGTCTCAAATAATCAGGCAAATTCGAGTCTAGGGTTGGTTTCAGGTCGGGTTAGGTCAGGTTCGGGTCACCATTTTTTTTAAGTTCAGACATGTCGGTTAATAGATCGAGTTATGGTCACTATTTCGAGTCGGGTCAGCTTTTGATACCTCTAGTTTTGACCCTTTAATTGGGATCTCCTCAATCCTCAATAAAAAGTCCTCCCTTGAAAGTAAATGAGCATCCATCCCGGATCCCGCGATGTTCCTGAGTAACGCATGAAAGTGGGAGACAAAATAGAAAGATGAGTAACGTGGTAAAAACGCTGACGAAGAAGAAGGAGGTGGACTCCATTATCAGAGATACCATCGACAAACTTCTCGTCCTCCGCTTCGGTCGTTCTTCCGACCCCGCTTGCCTCCAACTCGACGACATCGTATTCTCTCCTTACCCTTCATTTCTATTAATTTGATTGCTTAATTTATTGCTGTAACTACAATTTCTCAAGGAACAGTATTTTACCATGATTGCTTGCATTTCTATATTTGATTTTTGCAATTTTAGACAATTAATGTTCAAACCCTCTTTGAATTTATTTATTTATTTATTATTTTTATTATTATTAATTTTTTATAATCCCGATTGCCAGTTTTTGTTCTGGGTATTATTTTATAGAAATTTGTTGTTGGAAAAAGATGATGATATTTGATTATTTAAAGGGCTGTTTATATATTTGTTTGTTATTTTTTAGGGATCGCTACATGTGTCTATTATACACTCGAGTGTAATATTATTCCTTCCAAGATGCTTTAGGGGAGCTAGTCTACTGTAATTGTCAAATTGATAAAGTTGGGGGTGTTTGATTATAACCATATAATGCTCAATTGCAAATGGCTTTGATTACTTTTAGGCATTAGTTTAGTTAATTTGATGCTGAGGATGAGTGGTTATTCGATTAAGTTGCCACTTAATTTTTGGTTCATGACTTAATGTTTGGATGATGGATATTGTTTGTGTCTTTCTTGATGCAGTTGGCGAAATCGTCTCATGATGTCTCCAAATTTGCTAGTATTGCATTGGTTGATATTGATTCAGAGGATGTGCAGGTGTATGTCAAGTACTTTGACATCACACTAATACCTTCTACTATCTTTTTCTTTAATGCACACCATATGAAGATGGATTCTGGGTATGTTTAGTTTGTGTAAGAATGTTTGTTGTTCATATTATTATTTTTTCCAATTAGCTGTTGTCATTTCTTGTCATTTCATGTTATTTTTTGCTAAGTTACTTTGATTATGTTGCCAAATCCTTTTGTTGATTTGGTTTTGAGGGATAATATGTTTGCTGATTGATTATGATTACACTGTGTGTATTACCTGGGGTCATGATTCATGAATGATATCTCAAATTGCCCACTTCTGCATATCTTTTCTTCTGAAATCACAGTTGCAGACTTGCAGTTGATTAGTTGTCTATAGTTGATGCCTTTTAATGAATCTCTACTGTTCCTCTGGAATTGGTTACTCAACCTGGAATTTCTCTGAAAATGCATTTGAGATATGGATATAGCTGAAGGATAGTTCAGTTAGGTCTGATCTTCATTAAACCCTTAGATTAAATACACAACTTAGTTTAGGCTGTGCTCTCTATATCACTTTTTCTCCGTATTGCTCTATTTGTGTAGGAGTTATGCGAGACAAAGGTGGATCTGGTTCACCTAATTAGTTGTAAGATTGAGGTTTCTTCATTATGTTGAAACAGGACTGCAGATCACACTAAATGGATAGGAGCATTTCACAAAAAACAAGATTTTATTGATGTCGTCGAGGTTAGTGACAACTGGAATACTTTTGACTCATTGTTATGTTACTTGGATTTTGCAAATCTATCATACTACTATGCCATATTTTAGCCGGGGAAAGTAACACTCATTAAGGTTGACAACTTTTTCTGTATAGTTTGCATGTTCTTCAAGTAGATTGATCAAACTGTTCCATTTGAGATACTGGTGGTATCTGGCTGTCAGCTACATGAATACTTAGCTTGGTCTAGAGAGGGGAAGGAGTTGATAGCTGATGACATCAGTTGGTACAAACTCAGTGCAGGAAATCCCCGAATATGCTATAAGTTAGTTGGCTCTTAGCTAATGCTACCTTTTAAATTGTAATTGAGATGTTTTACTGGTAAACAGAGAAGAACAACAGACCAGTTTAGTAACACAATTAGAAACAGGAATGAAAAGTTAGGGAGAAAACAAGCAAAAGACAAAAAATACCATGTGAGTAGCCAAACATCATGAGGGGAAAAAAAAAAGTGCATGTTATATACTTATATATAAAAACAGATTATAAAAAATTAAAAGGGTAGAAAGCTGTCTATAATATTAAGGGGAATATGATTATTTTGTTCACAAAAAATACTAAATCAAAATATTGCATAATGCATACTTGCATGTGCTATATTGGATTTGAGTGGGTTAGGCTACATGTAACGGTATTACATGAATATCGTGGATTAGGTTCCATATCTTCTTATAGTTTGTTCTTTCCTAAGTACTCTCTGATTGACGAGAGATGATAGATAAGACCAACACTTGGAAAATATATCTGCTGAAAAAATGAGTACAGCACTTTGACAAGTGTTTTCGTAAAGGAGCTACTGGATAAATAATTTCCTGCAAATCAGAAAATCTAGGGGTCTTCGCAGAAATTAAGCCTTCTAACACACCCATCATATTTGTTCACCAGTTTACCTACTAATAAATCCTGAAGACTTTCTAAGGTTGAAATACTTAAGAAAGCACCTCTAATTTAAAGTTTGAAATTGGGGTATCATATGAAGTGAAGTGGCAGAAAATTGTTGAATAGGGAATGAAATAAAATTGCTTTCTTTTCACGCTTAGAAACTGATCTTAATCCATCCAGAATCTTATATGTGGCAGAGGAAAAAAATTGAGATCAGTATTCACAGGTTGGAGTGAGACAATTTATGGCAACTTTTGCAAAATTTTTTGAAACGGAGCACAAGGTTACCATTAAAAGTTTACCAGACAACTAGATTACATCGGAATCTATAGAGAATAAGGCTTTAAAAACAAGTTACACAACTGTTAGATTTGGTTCATCCACTTCCCAACACTGAAGCTAGTTTTTGGTGAAAACTCTCAAGGAAACAACTACCTGATGAAGAATTTCAAAATTTGGGATTCATATAGTAGAGTTGACGTATTGTTGAAGAAGGAAGGAATGAAAGTTATCTATCCAAGATTTTTCTCAGACCCCGCTTTATCTCATCCAGGACCATATGTTAAAGAACTATGACAATATTTGAGATGACACTCACCAGGAACTGGAGTAAAACTTTGGATATGGCAGTTTTTGCAATAATTTTGAAAAGGAGCTACTAGCAAAAAGGACCCCTAATCTACTGGACTTCATAGTAAACTATAGAAACACTATTAGCCCAACCCTCGCAATTTTGCGTCCTTATTGATACATATCAAAACATTTTCTTAGAGCCTGATCTTATCCCGGGCCTAAGTTTTATGTGTGACAAAGGGAAAAATATTGAAGATTTCTGGGTTGTGATGTTCTAGAACCCAATGTTATATTGCATACAATTGCCTGGTCTTTCATTATAAGCTGCTTATTGTAAGATTTAAGCCCCCTTTTCCTTTAAGGCGTGCTTATAAATTACTAAATCCTAACTGTCTTGATGATCACTCTTGTAATGAATGGTATGATTTGAAAGCTATTATTGATATTGACTTGCTTTCTAGCATTTCACCCAAATATCCTAATGGGTATTAGCATGAGCCCCATTTGCTATATTGGGTAATCAATAGAAGTGTTCTCCCCTTTTGCTGCTCTTCTTTTTTCTTCTCCATTACCATTGTTTTTCCGCTCCCTTTGATATAAGCATATAGATATATAAGTGTACTATCTTAAGTGAAGATTGCTGTGTACAAGAGCAGTACTTCAGTACAAAGTTCATCTAGCTCTCTCAGTATCAAATGTATATCATGGTTACACTTCTTTAACCGGCCATTTAGGTTCTTCTGTTTCCCTTTCTCACAAATAATTGTCAAATCAATGAAGATGATGAATTTATTTTAAATCATAAAGGATAAAATACAATATGACTTTCTTTTCTTGCCTAAATGTTGTTTTGGAGCATCTTCAAATTTCCTATTATTTTAACTATGCATTTGGCAAGACATAATAAATTTTCACTTCCCATTTGGCTATTAGCCCTAGTCATACTACTTTTGTAGTACCTTCTGGGTATGCTCTATTTTGATCTACTTAATTTGACCTGTTTGAATGTATTGGGAACTTATTGGAACATTATGGAACTTATTGTACTATGTATCGAGGTCCTTTTCACATATATTGAATATTTTGACTGTGCACTGTCCATTGATTTTACTCTGGATTCTGGTGTATCTGTAAGTTTTTTCTAAATAAGTTTTATTATATGTTTGCAGGCTATTTATAGAGGAGCGATGAAGGGCAAACTGATTGTGACCTGTCCTTTGCCTCCAGAAAAAATACCGAAATTCCAATTGCTATACAAGGATGTATAAAAGGTAAATCGGTAATTTTGGCCCTCTTTCTTATTGGAAGAGGATTTGATAGTGTAATCGCTGTTGGGAATGGAATTGAGTACCCCATAATTTAATCACGAGCCAATTAAATTCAAGTCATTATGTGGGATGCTTTTGGCCTTTTCTGGACAATATTTAGTTCCAAGAAGCAGGCATGCACTTGGTAGCCCACTGAAATTGATCCCGGAAGTCTGCTCTTATACCTGGGTGCTCTTTGCTGACGTTTAGTTCTGGCACAGCCTGAGTAACTTGTTGAGTTAATGTACTGTAGAAATTAATAAATCATCTGCTTTCATATTTTATTATTGATGTTAACTTCGGCCGAATTTAGGGCCATTGTCATAGATGGATTTGCTTGGGAGGGGGAGGGGGAGGGGGGTTCACTTTTCTTCCTTGTTCAACCACCTTTTGATGGCTGATTCCTGCATATTGCTCTTTTGCCTTCAGCTGAGAGATCTTTTTTATATTTGACAAAATGAGAGATAATGACTCCTGTTACATGTCGATCTTTAAGATATCTATCTCTCCATCTTTCCGAATACCAAATGGTCTCTGTTTCCTCAGGACATCAAGTAACTCTTCAAGTAAAAGTTGGTTTAAATCTTCACTTTTGTCTTTTATGTCTGGTGCAAGCTTCCAGCCTTCCACTTTGTTGCTACATATTTCATTTCATTTTTACAAGCTAAACCAAACTTCTGTTATATTTCTCTTATCTGATCAAGCCTCTCTTTTGGTGATTAACAGATGACAGTTGCCAATTAAAACTCCTTTTAAAGTGTTCAAACTTAGCTAAAGGTAAGATATAACATGATAGCAGACTATTTCGGTTCTATTGATTAAAGAACTTCGTTCATGTGCAACCAAAAACTCCAGATTGTGGACAAAAGTATATCTGTCTCTTGTCTTTGACCTCTTTTCATTAGGTAGTTTGTGATAATTTGGACCAGCTCCAGATTCCCTGTCCGAATTCTCAGATCTCTGCATCTCTAAACATGCTTGGTCACCTAGCACTCTCTGAATAAATGATTATGTTTCCTCCGAGAGCCTCAATGAACTACGATATATCTTTTCCTCAGCTCTGCCTTTGAGGGGATTGCACTATTGATAATCTTCCATACCAACATCACACCGTTGGAGCCTATTTCAGCTTCCAAAATCTCTTCCAGTATGATACTATGTAATTGCTTAATTGCCTTCTTACTTGCCTATCTAGAGCAACCATGCTTACCATGACTTTGTGGTGTTCTCCCCCGAGGGGCTCTTGTCCACACTGATGTAGGTACCGAGGATTACCTTTTCCACATTCCTTTCAAAAGACCTCCATATCAGTGATTGGTTCCTAGTTTTGTTACTCCCTCCGTACCCATTTAAAAGCCTCATTTTCCTTGGACAGATACATTGAGAAGATAAATTTTGGTGGGGTATTGTTGATTAAAAATGAATAAAAAAAATAAAAGTAGTGGAAATATTTTATTGTCTTTAGGAGGAAAAGAGTGAGAAGATATGGCGGGGTTGGAAATGAATAAAAATATAAAATACAAAGTATAAATTAGTGGATGATAGACCCCACCGAAAGGCGAAATGGAGGCTTTTAAATGGCGACTAGCATTTGGGGGAGAAATTATATTTTTAACAGGGACGGAGGGAACATTTGACATAATGTTGGAAACTGGTAGTCATTTGATCCTCATCTTACTAGGTAGACTTGAATTGGATCTTGTTGGAGTAAACCTAGTGTCTCTCTCAATTTTGAGGGAGTATTTGACATAAGGTTGGAAATTGTAGTCAGTTGATCCTTATCTTAGTAGGTTAAGGTAGACTTGAATTGGATCTTGTTGGAGTAAACCAAGTGTTTCTCAATCTTTTTGCAATTTCACCATAATAAATTAACGATTCACAATTATCATTCTACTACATGTAACAAAAGGAAGAAGTAAGTGAGCAAAAGGAGGACTTGAAAAAGGCAAGAGAAAAAAAAAAACCAGCACTGCCATCTCCTCATTTAGAAGTTGGATCAAAGACACCTAACATACGACTCTTTTAAAAAAAAATATTACTTGCTTTAGAATTTATTTTTTTTATCAGTGTTATATTACTTTGTATTGTTATACCTTTTTTTTAAAAAAAAAAAAATTACTTTGACTAATTTGATTAAAATTTGGATGATACTCTTATTACTTAATTAGCACATGTTTAGTTTCCTTTTTTACCCACATACCCTTTTAAGTACATAAAGTGACATTTTTTAATGCATAAAATTACCCACTTACTTTGAATGTAGGTGCTTCCAAACAAAAGACATAGACATTTAGTTTTCCCTATAATTAAACAAAGTTACCTTTCTAACCACAAAAGTGACCATTTTTAGTGCATAAAGTGACCTTTTCAATGCATAAAGCTATCCTTTTAGGTGCTTCCAAATACAAGGCATATACATTCAGTTTTCCATAGAATTAAAGGGTTACCCTTTTTACCCACAAAAGTTAACCTTTTTACCCACAAAATTTACCCTTTTCATGCATAGAAGTCACCCTTTTATAAACTAAAGTGACCCATAAAAAAAGGGAATTGAAACTTTTACCTGTATGAAGTAACTCTTTTTACCTGCAACAAGTGACCTTTTTTAAGTGCAAGTTTGTCCCCTTTTAATGCATAAATGCACAACTAAAAAGAAAGATATGTACAAAATAACATTTCAAATTACTTAATGTATGCACGTACATTCAATTAAAAAAAAAAAAAAAACCCACCAAACACTATACCATAGAAGATTTAATTACATCATTGTACTTGATGTATGCACATATATTAAGTATTTAAAAAAACACTTTTACACCTAATCACGAAAAAGTCATTTCACTCTTCAGAAGGAGTGTAATTCTTTTTTTTTTTTTTTTTTTTAACTTTTTATCTTAGGGGTCTTTTTCATCTGCCTCTTGTTCTTCTGTTTTCTTTTTTCTTTCCTCAACTTTTTTTTTTCTTCTTTTCAGCAATTGCAGCTTTTAATCTTACTACAATTTCCTGTACATAACCAACATCTTTCTTTCTCTCTTTGAACTTGGCTAATTCTGACAAAACATTAGCCCTAGGTTCATTCATATCACACAATCCAAGTGTGGTACAGATTTGTCCATGCAAAATTTTTCTTCCCGCAACCTCGCAACAGAGAAACTAAAAAAAAAACCTTTCAATATGAATTTAATAAAACGTCAGAAAGAGAAAACAAAAGACAAATAGATGAATAATTACTATTTTGAGATAATTTAATTTGAACGATTCACCAACAAAATGGAGCATGTGATAAATGACAAAGACCCCACAATCTAAGTTGTCAACCTTATCCTTTCTCCATTCCAACTCAATAATTTCAAAGCGATAAAAAGGTATCTGAGAACTCTTTGGCTGATTTCTTTTGTCAAGAAAAGCATCCAATTTATCACACTAATAAAAAAATATAAAAGTTTATAATACATTGAATACAAAAAAAAAAAAAAAAAAAAAGGTTAAAATCTAAAGTAGAAAAGTAAACCCTTTTAATTGCAAAAAGGGATCCTTTTAACTATAAAAAGTTACCCTCTTAGCCGGAAACGTACCACATGAGCAGACAAATCTTTAAAGTAGTTAAGACTAGAATCACGCCAAATAATATTGTCAAGATAATAGATCAACTCTTTTGAATGATCAAAACAAACAAAATGTAGTAATTCTCAATAAGAATAGGAATATATAGTACTGTCAAAACGGTTTGATAGTTCGGGTTCGGTTCGGTTTGAAATCGGGTCGGTTTGAAATCGGTTTAAGTGTCTCGTAGGTTGGTTTCAGTTCGGTTTAAATAATTATCGGTTCGATTCTTGAGCGGTTTTAATTCGGTTCGGGTTTGAAAACAGTTGGTGTAGTAAACGGTTCGGTGCAGACGGGTCGTGGTTTGTTAATGGTTCGGTGTAAACGGTTTTTATCCCGCGGTTCAAACAGTTTCGGGTTGGAAACGGTTTCGGGTTAGAAACAGTTTGATTCTTTTTCGGTTCAGTTTATAACTAGTTCGGTTCTTTTTCGGTTCAATTTATAACTAGTTCGGTTCTTTTTCGGTTCGGTTTATAACTGGTTCGATTCTTCTACGTTTTAACGTTATTTGGATCGGTTTTATTTCGAGTTTACTAAATTACTGTTCGAGTCGGTTTTCGGTTTCAAAAAATCGATTGTTTATCGAGTCGTTTGGATTCGGGCAGTTAAATGGTTTTGGTTTGAAATTTGATAGTACTTGCTAACCTTTTGTAATCTAAAAAGTTTTATATTAAGTCGAGACTTCATCATTTCTTAAATAGGCATCATATTATATACAAATTCTCATTGATTTTATAAATACATATAATGTTCTGTTTCATGTTTAGCCATACCGATCTTACTAGTTTGTAGCCGATTCGTTTATAAGCGGTCCGATTCATAAAACGATTCGGTTTGCAAGCGGTTCGGTTAATAAACGGATCGGTTTATATACAATTCAGTGCAAACGGGTTGCGGGTTGTTAACGATTCGGTGTAAACGATTTTATCTCGGTTCAAATGGTTTCCGGTTGAAAGCGATTTCGGGTTATAAACAATTCGATTCTTATTCGGTTCGGTATGATTTCAGTTCAGTTTAGAATTGGTTCGGTTCATTAACGGGTTCGGTTCTTACACGGTGTAACGTTATTCGGATCGGTTCGGTTTCGGGTTCATCCACACACGGTTCGGGTCGGATTTCGATTTCAAAAAAAAGGTTTTTAATCGGTTCGGTTCTCATTTGGGTTGGTTTGTTTCGGGCAGTTAAACGGTTTCGGTTTGAAATTTGACAGCACTAGGAATATAGATATGAAACAGAAAAATTAAAAGTGATTTAGACAAAGCATTTCACAGACATAACTCTTTTAAGAGTATTATATTAGTTTAGCATGAAGCATACTAGTTTAGCATCAATTATATCACATTCAGGATTCTCGTAGCTGACACACCCTTCCCATAAATTGTGCAAATCCTTAACAACACTAGAAATGCTACCTTGCCCAATGTTTTCACAAACATACAACAATGCAAAGTATTAAAGTATAAGATCTTGTTTATATACAAATATAAAATCAATGTGTTTAAATATAAAAAAATCAAATTACTTACACTTTGCTTCGCACCAAAAAAGAATCTTCGAGGACCAGAAGATTCAAAACAAGCTCTCTCATTCAAATACAGAGCAAAGCAATCAATAATGCACAATCGAATCCTAAGTGGGGCAGCAAGGGACACCATATCTTCTCTTGAAACTAGAAAATTCATTCCAAAAATATCAACATTTTAAAAAAAAAACAAAAAAGTGTGTGTGTGTGGGGGGGGGGATAATACTCAAAGAAAATGACACTTAACTTCCTATGCATTAATTCATCCTTAAGCAAACAATAATCTAGAACTTCTAAATGTAACTGATGCAAAATGTTAAAAATCCGAACACTACCCTTAAAAAAAGAGTAACAAAAGGCAAATTCTGACCTAATGGCCCACAATTTAGTGAGCATAAAGATTTATTGGATATGGTAATACGCTCGGGAACAACTTCATTAAATACAGGAACTTTTTCATTAGCTCCTCCACCATCATCATTAATTTCACGAACATAATCGTTTCATTAACTCCTCCTCCATCATTATCATTAACTTCACGAACAGGAAGATTTTCATTAACTCCACCACCAACATCAACATTAACTCATCAGCATTTTCATCCTTATTATGTTTACCACCATACGCTTCACGAAACAACTCATGTGCAGACGTCATCTTAATACACTCCTTAATTATACCATCTATAAGCTTATGGTAATGAGGATCAGAGAGTAACTATTTAGTTTGAGAAACTACAACAGGATATTGAAGATAATGAACAGTTCTTTCAGAAAGAACATTGGAAACCAAATCACTCAAGGTTTTAAAACCATTTGCCTCAACACTTAATAGAGCATCCATGTTTCTTTTAAGCAAAAAAAATGATTCGTGAATAGTCTACAAACATAGAAAAAAAAAGAATTAAACAAATGTGACAAAGAAAAATAATAAAAAGTAATTAAACTGAATATTTAGGGTAATTTTAGTGCACAAAAAGGGTAACTTTAGTCCACAAAAATGATAACTTTAGTGCACAAAAAAGGTAACTTTTGAACACATAAAAGGTTACTTTTGTAAACATAAAGGTAAACTTTTGTGCACATAAGGAATAACTTTTATGCACATAAAGGGTAAATTTTGTGCACATAAAGAGTTCCTTTTGTGCTCATAAAAGGGTAACTACTACACATATGAAAAAAGCACTTACATCAGTTGAAATTTCTTTTATTTCATCATTAGTCATCACACCTTCTTGAAGCTCAAATTGAACAAAGCGGCCAATTGTACTTTTTGAAGAAGCACCACTAATTCTTAAACCACCCTAACTAGATCTTAAAGTAAGAGGTTGCTTAACAACAACAGATTGGATAATAGGAGACTGGCACAGGATACGTAGTAGTATCCAATGGTCCCTGTCCAAAACCACAAGCTTTAATCTCCAAATTAATCCGACTTTTAATCTCAGCATCTGTCCAATGTTGAATCAAAGGATTGCTCCAACTCTCCTTTACTCCTTGAAAATTTAAACGATGAAAATACAGAATTTGCAAAAGCTCTAAACATCCACTAACATTCTGAGCAGTTGGATCATTGTTATAGTTATCAACAGATTTCTTTAACCTCTTCAAAACATAAGAACACCAATAAAAAATTTGGATTCATTAACTTGTTAAGCAACTTTTAACAACTTCAATGAAACAAACCTATAAGTAGTAGGAGCTAAAAAGCTAGACATAGCATGAACCACAAAATACCATTTAAATTCTTCCCCTCCATCAATTAAAACTTTCATCTGAACCTCCAATTTTTACAAAGGAATAGCTTGCTTTTCAGAAATATCAAAATCAAATCTCAATGAATAATACAATTGTCTACACTTGTATCTTTACCATTTTTCTTCCGTTCAGGAACAGAAATATCACCTATATGCAAACAAAACATGTCACATACATCATTCCTAGTAACTGCGAATTCTTTACCACTACTAATAGTAAACATGTAGCCTACCACAATTAAAGTTTTTAACGAGCTAAGCATTTTGCATTTTACGATAGAGAGTTTTCAACTTTAAATGTAATAAACCACCAAAACCTACTTCTTGAGAAGCTTGTTTTTTTATTAACACTAAAGTTCTGCACCAAACTTTCTAAGGTATATGGTCTACACCTTGTAATCAAATGTCTTTGGGCCCTATATATATATATTTTTTAAAAGAAAAAAAATAAATAAAACAATATAATAAACAAATGCAAATCAAGAGTCATTGAAAACAAGTTCCCTTATAGTGAAGTATCACCCAATTTTGATTCCTTTAAGCAGCTGATTGACGCTAATTTAATTTAGTAGAATTGGATTCTGATTCTGACCCTAATACTTCACTGTAAGAGAACTTGTTTTCAAGACTCTTGATTTGCATTTGTTTTTCATATTGTTTTATTTACTTTTTTTTAAAAAAAAAAAGTTATATAGGGACCAAAGACCTTTGATTACAAGGTGTAGACCATATAACTTGGAAAGCTTAGTGCAAAACTTTAGTGTTAATAAACAAGATTTTCAAGAAGTTGGTTTTGGTGGTTTATTACATTTAAAGTTGAAATGCTTCCTAGACTTGTTAAAAACTTTAATGGTGATAGCTACATGTTTACTATTGGTTGTGATAAAGAATTCGTAGTTAATAGGAATGATGTATGTAATGTGTTTTGTTTGCCTATGAGTGATATTCCTGTTCCTGAGCCGAAGAAAAATGGTGAAGATACTAGTGTAGACAACTGTATTATTCAGGCATGGAGGTCTGATTTTGATATTTCTAATAAGCAAGCTATTCCTTTGTCAAAATTGAAGGCTCGGATGAAAGCTTTGGTTAATGAAGTGGAAGAATTTAAGAGGTATTTTGTGATTCATGCTATGTATAGCTTTTTAGCTCCTACTACTTATAGGATTGCTTTATTGAAATTGCTAAAGGCTGTTGAAAAAGTTAATGAAATAAAAACTTTTGATTGGTGTTCTTGTGTTTTGAAGAAGTTAAAGAAATTGTTGATGACTATAACAATGATCCAACTGCTCAGAATGTTAGTGGATGTTTGGTGCTTTTGCAAATTCTATATTTTCATTCATTTAAATTTTCAAGGAGTAAAGGAGAGTTGTAGCATTCCTTTGATTCGACATTGGACAAATGCAAAGATTAAAAGTCGGATTAATTTGGAGATTAAAGCTGGTGGTTTGGGACAGGGACCATTGGATACTACTACGTATCCTGTGTTGCAGTCTCCTATTAGCCAATCTATTGTGGTTAAGCAACCTCTTACTTTAGGATATACAGGGTGGTTTAAGAATTGGTGGTGTTTCTTCTAAGTAGTACAATTGGCCGCTTTGTTC